ATTGCTGAAATTACTCATCTAATATGTGCCCCTGCTCCTTCTTTTGTTGCCTTTTTGCTCTACTGGCAAGATGTTGTTTGTTTCCAAATAATCCATCATGTTATCTGCAATAATGCCTGTGAGTAATTTGAAGGTTGTTGGCAAGCATGTTATTGGTCTGTAGTTTTCAGGTGTTGTTCCTTTAGTTGCATCTTTCTGAATCAAGTATGTTTTTCCAGCTGTCAACCATTCATCAATTTGGCCCTTTTGTAAAATTTCATTCAGTTGTTGTTGTTGTTGTTGTTGTTGTTGTTATTTTAAAGAGTTGATGGAAGAGAAACCAATTTATCTCTAGGTTAGGATATAGTAGAGAGCAAATGTAGAGCATTTAGGAGATGAGATAGGAGAGATTAGAGGACAGGAATGAATTTAGGTAAACTCTGGACAGAGAGCAGCATTTAAGCACTGGGGCTGGGGATGAATCCTCTTATTCAAATGGTGGCAGACGCTGGATTGGGAAATCAACTTACAAATGTGAAAGAAGAAATGCTTCCAAACATACCACGGGCTTATCTACGTTTTCTTCTTGACGTGCTAAGGTCAATTTTACCTCTTCTTCTATCCATGCCCTGCTCTCTCTCTTTATGCAGCTCCCATGTAGTGTCTCAAAGGCGTTCCTAAAAACGGACTTCCGGCATATGCAATTTATTGAACTATATGAAATAGTATCACCTTTGAGAAGGCAGTTAAGCAGTGCATGATATTTTTTCCTTAGAAAACTTGGAAACATCTATGCAGGCAAAGTCTTCTGAAAATATCTTTTAAGTCCTTTTCTTCCATTTCCTCCGCCACCCCCTCTCTTTCCTGAAAACTTTGCCTAATATTAGATGGTGACTGTTGTTTAAACCACCAGCGTTTTGAATGCATTGTGTTCTTCTGCAGGAGAAGATTTTAACAATATTTTCATGATCCACAAACTGAAAAATATAGCTAGGTGTCTATTCAGCTATGTCAGAAATATCCTGTTTGATGGCTACTGCATGTGTAGTTCAAGGTAAAGAAAGGAAGAAGTTAGGGAGAAGCCCATGAGATACCAGTGTGAATCTTTATTGCAAGATGGGGGGAGACAATTGAGGGGATGTTGAGCAGATGAATCAATACACTGGTTCAGAATTCTGAGTTTTGCTGTACAACAGAATTTGGGACAATATAGTGCTAATAGAAAAGTCTATTTTCTCCTCCTGCACAAAGATTCCAGCTAAATTCCCATTTACCTCCCATTTACAGGGAAACCATTGTCAACGTCATATGTTTCTCAGATGATACACAATTTCCCCGTCAGAAAATACTTCCTTATTGCAGTGAAACAATCAGCCTTATTACAACTAACTTTGTTTTGCTATACCAGATTTGAGTTCTTAATGACAGTGGATTTTCGGCTCTTGGCATTTCTCAGGTATTATGTGCAGCGCTGTGGAATTCCCCAGGGATCTATTTTATCAAATCTGCTTTGCAACCTCTGCTATGGAGACATGGAGAATAAGTTACTGTGCAATGTGCAAGAGGATGGGTAAGGTGTTATTCCGCTGTTTTGACATATTAGCCATTCCCAAAGGGCCAAACTCTCTTGTGCTAGAATCTTTATAAAAGTTAAGAATCATTCATTACTTAGATAACATAGAGCCCAGCATAAACTGTTCCAATTAAGGAGATGGAGGGATTACCCAGCATTACCCCCCCATCCGCGCGCTGTGACCCGACAAATGCGCGCCCGACAACAGCGCGGCGACAAAACCGCGACAGCGCATCCTCAAAGGCACGCCGACAAAAGAGCGGCAACAGAAGCACGATTACATTTAGGGTAAGGGTTAGGGTTAGGTTCAGGGTTAGGGTTAGGGTTACCTTTAGGGTTACCTTTAGGGTTACCTTTAGTGTTAGGTTTAGAGCGCGCTTCTGTCGGTGCTTCTGCGCTCATTCGTCGGTGCGATTTCGAACTCACGGGTTTTTTCCCGCGGTTTCATTGGTGCGCTTTTGTCCAGCGCGCATTTGTCAGTGAACCCCGTGCCATGTCTGCCTAGGATATTGGAGATCAGAGCCCATCCCTGCTCCAATTTTATCTATCAAATTATAATCCAACAGATGTAAATTGACAAAAAAGTAAGGCAAACTGGCCACTTGAAACATAGGAAGACTCTATATAGACTGAACCTATGTTTCATGTTTCATGGGAAATCAAATTTATGCAAATTATATTGTGTCAATTGCATGATGTCACTAAATTTCACTTGGGTGATGTAATGACACATGGCACAGCTGCAATCTCTCCAATATCCATATGTGTTCTGACCACCACCACCCCCCCCGTCATCCCACACCAACACACTCCGAGCCAAAGATAAGTTACGGCATTTAATTAACAGACAGACAGGTCCTTGGCAGCAAACCGGCACAGATAAGCCCTGGCAGCAATCCAACCTGCCAAGCTCACAATCATGTTCTCCAACATTAGTTCCTGCATTGACTTCTGCAAGAGAGGCGTGCACACAAGCAGTCCTTTTATAGTCTGGAGAAGAGCCTAATGACCACCAGCTGAGTGCAATTATCTCCTGCAACTGTGCAACTGTTCCTGACGCCTATTAGCTCTTCGGTGCCGGGCATCCAGGAAGAACTCACTGCTGGCGTCCGGCTCACTCTCCCTTGTCACCTGCCCACTG